TTAAAATTTTTGTACTTGATTTTAGTATCTCCAATTTGTAATTCGCATGTTGAGCTGTTTCTTTTTCTGACAACCATGTAATTTTTCTTCTTACAATTGATGTTTAGTCCTTTCCTCTTGCTTTCCTTTGCTACTTTCTCTAGGATTTCCTGTAGTTTCTTTTTTTGTCTGCTATCAACGCTGTGTCATATGCATGTCTAATGTTGTTAAGATTATAGCCACAAATAATGACTCCTGGTGAAATTTCTAATTCTCTCAGGATTGTTTCACTGTAAAAGTTGAAAATGTCTGGTGAAAAGACACATCCTTGTCTTACACCCTTTTCTATTTTTATGTATTACTGAATTCATTTTCTATCTTTATGCAGATGGTTTGCTTCCAGTATAAATTCTGGATTATTATAATATCCTTTCTATAGCTTAATGGAAGAAAAACATTTTATGCAACAAATATTTTTCAACAGTCTCCTTAATCTTCTTAATTCAATGATGAACATTAATAGGAAAGAGTAAACATTATAGTGAAAGTTTCAGCTCAAAACTCTATCAATAAGCATGTGTTTGGCTGCTGTTATGTTTTTAATGCACCATTTATAATTTAAGATAGCATAAACTAGTACATTTGCATATGGTAAGCTCTAAATAAAATTACTAGCTATATAAGAGTCAACTTGTTAAGATTTATTGCGTAAAATACACAATTGTGGCACAAGGCCGAAAAGGGGAGAATGGGGTTGAGACTGGTCGTCACTTACTATCCTATACCTAGCTAATCTGATTCATGACCCATTCTTGTTTCTTATTGCTTTGAGTATTTTACATAAGTTCTTCAATAGGTACCTTTATTTTGTTACATTCACTTTTAATGTCACAGATTAATCAATGAAATTTGAATCTAAAGAAAATATTAATAGCTATCTACAAAGTTTAAATCAGATGTTTGAGAGTTATTCTTTTGTTCTAACCAATAGATTTATTTTCTAAACTTGTCCAATAATCATTGAGCCAAAATGTATCAACTTGTATAAAAACAAATATGTTTCCTATTGCAACATTCAAATGATATTCATAGGCAGAGAAAATGATGGAACTTTAATTTCATTGGGATTTTTCAAGTAAATATCCATTTTCTTTTCCAAAATATTAAACATTGCAGTTACTAAAGTTTGAGATTGATCAGTTGGCCTTGGTGTGCGAAAGATCGGATATTTTTTATTTGCTGTGTCACCCAAAATGGTGCAAATATCTCTTATGCTTTTAGGAGCAATCATTTCTGATGCCCTTTTATAACGATTTGCAGAACTTCCAAGGTAGACTGCTTCAATTTCTTCCACTTCCAGAAACTGATAATTATTCACATGAATAAAGTGGCTGTTTTTGAGTGGGTCTCTCTGGGTTGGAATGGTATGCAAGTAATATTGGTTTTTTGGCCCAATCTCTAAAGACCACATATCTTCTTGATCCTTCGTTGATGCCATATTGCAGCAAGAGCCAGAAGCAACACCTTTTTTTGTGTTTTTTAAAATTAGCACTGCTTGTGATGCACTTGATGCTGTCAGTAGACTTCTGTTACTAAACTGCTGAGGGATGCATTCTGCATAAGACATTGTTGAATACAGGTAATTAAAAGTGAATGCCATTCCATGGTTGTTAAAACCAAAAGTGCCTCCTGGGAGAAATCCTGGGTAACAATATGCTGTAATATATTCTCTATTTTCTTGAATAACATTTTTAGACACAGCTACATCATCAATCTTACAAGAGACAATGTAAGTATATGTCTGCATTTGAGGAGTGTGGTCTTCATTGTGTGCCAATATTTTGAGGTCAGGTTCATTGATGAACACAGCAGTACAACCAGCTACTTTATCTTCAAACTTTTTTGAAACTTGTGCAAACATCACCATTTCATTAAGACAGTTGAGCAAGAAAAGCCTCTCAAATGGAATACCTGATCCTTGTGACATACCCTTAATTTCTTCTATATATTGAGGAAAGTCTTCTGAACAGGACCTGAGAAAACCTTCAAATACCTGACGCCCTTCACTGCACTCATAATATGGTAACACAGTTGTTTTCATCAGAGGAAAATTGGTACAGAAACTATTGATCTGTTTGCTGAACTGATTTCCAATAGAATAACCAATGTCATAATGGGTTCCAGAAGTAAAAAGCACTGGTAACTGGTGTAGCTGATGTTTTTCAAATTTCTCTTGAGCAAAATTAGCATTTTCATTTTCACTGCAAAATTCTGCTTCCATTTTCTCCTATAGGAACTGAAGATTATATACTGAAAAATGAAATGAAGAGAGATTAAAAGTCAAAATAATATTTTCAATACATTTGATATTTAGTAATACCTTATTTTGAATTTCTTAAATAAAGCATTATTATTAATTTTTCATGCATATTTCTTTAATCTCTGGAGGTGTGAGTGACTTAACAATTAACAGCATAGAAATAGAATCAGCATTCTGTGTTCAAGTTCTGGCTGAAACAGTTTTTGTTCCCTTCTTACTAATGCCCTAATAAAAACATGAATCCATTTCTTCTCATCTTGGCTATGAGTAAAACAACAGAGCAAACTAAGCTCCCTAGCTCTGGCTGTCAACTGGTTTAGAAATAAGATAACTTTGGATTAAAAATTAAGAGTGGAATCCATTCCTCCCCACAGTTATGTGTAACAATAGAATAAAAGGTTGTAGTACTTGCAATCCCACCTCATAAAAACCTATGATATGTGTTGTGGTAGGATCCACCTAATTTGCATAGTGGAGTACCGACCATATAAATATGGTTGGTACCGGGAAGAGAGGGAGGAATCAGAGATTCAACCAGAGACTCTGCCCGACTGCGACTCAGTCAACACATTCTCCAGGAACGGTCTTACCAGGAATATACAAAAGACTATATGTAAATATTGTGTACACTTTCTTGTTTCAATACATTTTGTTCTAAGTACATTTTGTGTTGCATTATTATTCCATGCATTAGTCAAGTTTCAACAATATGCAATATATATAATAAATGCAAATGTCATTGTGTCACTGTGTCACACTTTTTCAATTGAAGGGATATTACTCTCTAACTTTCAATAGCTCATGTTAAAGAAATTTTAGATTCCCAAGTTTTCCTTACTGCAATTGTTTTTGGCAATTTTTTATGTTTTTTTTTTTTTTTTTTTTTTGTACAATACTTTTTATAACTTTGAAACAAATTTGGGAATAATCAAAATTAATAGCAAAATTCAGCAAAAGTTACCCATGAAATAAAAATAATTGTTTGTATGGAAAAGTAAGGACCTACACACATCAAATTGTCTTTAAATTAAGTGGCGGCAGAAGATTTATTGTTGAACTTTTAAAAGGTAAGCTTAAATAATAATGCAATACTTAAATGTAGCAATCAATTTTGAGTTCTTCTGTAGTTTATTATTGCCTATCACATATGGCAGCAGTATGCCTCACACAAAGAAATCTCTGCCAACAGAGAACCAGATTGCAATCAAAAGAGCCAAAGCTGCAGCGAGGAAAAGAAAGTCCCATGCAAATGAAAACCCAGATGAAACAGCAGTCAGGAGAGCTTTCAATGCTGAAAATATGCAAAGACTTAAAGACTCTCAAACTCCTGAACAAGCTGAAGGTCCAATCAAGACCCTTCCACAGGAGCTAGCTTAAATGCCACCCGATTGGCTGACTTTAAAGCTAGTCTTTACATACCTAAGGTGCTTGTTCAAAAGACCGAGGAGGAGTGTAAATTGGGTGAGAGATGAACCTATCTACTCTGACTTAGGGACAATAGATTAAATTTATATATATATATATATATATATATATATATATATATATATATATATAATTTTAAATATAAATCCTGTCTATTTTAAATATATGTACTTTTTAAAAATAAAACCTGTAATCCCTTTATAATATATGAACTGCACCAGCATTGTGTTAACCAGATATTTTTATTAAAAATTAAGTAACAGTCAGTCTCTACTCAGCACCTGAACATTGCGTTGTGAATGAAACTCTGAGTTGTGTTGCTATTGAGGAATAATATGTATATTTATTAACATATACTTAATAGCTCTGTTACATTACATCAAACACTATTCTATTTTCACCAGCACTCAATGTATATATATATATATATATATATATATATATATATATATATATATATATATCTTGAAGCATGGCCCGGCGTTGCCCGTGCTTGATTAAAAAATCGTACGACTCATACAGCACTGCACGCACTAACCTGTTTCTTCCCGCGCATAGCGTGACCTTAAATTAATCTGCATTTAGGAAATACCCAACCGGAAAAACATTTTTAAGGGTTGACCGATTGTCCATTTGCACTCTGTTTGGGGGGCGCTCAGAGTTGAAACTTCACATGGTGACTCCCAATGGCCTCCTCATAAATCCGATCGGTTTTCGCTAAAAACCGACATGCGGTTCAGGTGCAATCTGGGCGTATCGGCTTTTGGGTTTTATCGATTTTCCGCGCTGTTTAGGGGTCCGTGGTCATGAAACTTCTGGACAACACTTCTAAAGGTAGACTCTAAGAGGGTGTCAAATTTGGTTGAAATGCAATAATTCCTTCTGTTAGCAGATTTTTTCGATTATCGATTTTTTCGATTATCGATTTTTTCGATTATCGATTTTTTCGATTCTCGTTTTTTTAGGAACCTGAGTCCGAACTGAAAAATCGGGCTGCGCCATGTCCTTAAGGCAGCCATTTGCAAACTTGTGGCGAAAATCGTATAGAAATCGGGTGAGAAATGCGGCCTGGGCGAGGTAACAACGCCCACGACAGACACACAGACAGACAACATTATCGATTTTTTCGGAACCTGAGTCCGAACTGAAAAATCGGGCTGCGTCATTTAATCTTAAGGCAGCCATTTGCAAACTTGTGGTGAAAACCGCATCGAAATCGGGTGAGAAATGCGGCCTGGGCGAGGTAACAACTCCCACGACAGACACACAGACAGACAACATGAGATAGATAGATAGATAGATAGATAGATAGATAGATAGATAGATAGATAGATTTCTTTTAAAAAATAGCATTTATTCTATGCTGTTATGGTTGTTGGCATTTCCTTCAATTTAGGTATTATGTCTCATAATAAATTTCAATATTTGCTTGTGAATATATTCATCTTGTTAATATTTATAGCACACTATTATTATTATTATATTATTATATATTATTATCATTAACCAACATATATAGTGTCTCATGTGCTGGAAAAAGGAAGCTTTATATCATTTTCTGATATGGCAAAAAAATAGCAGAACTGCTAAAGATAAATGAAATATAAGGCTATTGTATTACAGAATGATTTGTCTGTTTAATGTCTTAAATGAAATTACAAAACTGTTAATTTTTTTATATCGTGATATCAACAATATATATAACTACAATTGTTATATAACATACCTATAAATACTAATGGGTATGTCCCAACTCTCATAAATACATTGGACACTATTGTAAGCTGGGGTAATAAGCTTTCTAAGTAGTCCACCACTAGCAGTGGTTATTCCTCATTTAGTAACCATTTTTAGGTTACAACAACAATGAAAGGTACTTGTTTCATTTTTTGGTGAGCAGTTTTATATTAAAAATAAATGAATGATTCATTTAATAAAGATATTTAATTTGTTTAAGCCATTATTGTCCACCATAAAATCCATTATTAATTATATTTCTGTCACTTCAAGCATCTTCTTTATCTGGGAGGTGACTGTCCAGTATTCACTGCTATAAAATAAAATTAGGTATTACATAGCAGTTCTGCATTCTTTTCTTTGTTTCTAACAAAATTTTCCTATCTCTTAATATTTCTTAAATATTTTATTTGGTTTCTGGAAGCTAATTTTACTATTCTTACATTTCTTTAAATCTCTGTATCACATTTTCCATCATCTGTTATCATACTACTCAAATAGTTAAATTTCTGTATCTGCTTGATTTTAACATCACTAATACATGTATTAGTGATGTTAAAATCAAGCAGATACCAAATGATTGTGCTGCATTTTTCAATACAAAAAGATCACAAACTAATTCAAGTAGCCCAAAGAATTGAAGTTTTAGAAATATCACTCGGTTCTAATGGGATTTGGTGGTATACATGGATCATGTTGAAAACAGAGTTTTCCATAAATTTGTGAGTTTACATCATGAATATGGGGGATCGAATATCTATCAGGTTTTGTCATGTCATCCAAAGCATGATAATCTCCACATGTTTTCCACATTCTTCCTAATTGTCAGAGTAAATTTATGTTTGTTGTCTCGTTTATGTTGTATTATTTTAACATTTTTCTTTCATTAAAATTGAAATGTTACATTTTTTAATTTATTAGTAAACTTTTTTTTTTATTGCTGTTCATATTTTCTGACTCTCAAATACAAAAAAGAAAGATTCTTTAAGATACTGATTTCAATTAAATGACTGTCATTGCTACAATTAAAGAATGACAGGTGTATTTTCTTCAGTCAGATTTTTATTTATTCTATCCTATTTTATGCAATAAAAATTCATGGAGTTTTAACCTGTCGTGCATTTGCCATCATTCTGCATTGTTTTGGTGAAAACAGTTGGAGGCTTCTCTTTTTTAAGGACTGGACAAGTCCAACTAACGTCAGTTATTTTTAATTTGTTTGTTTTGATATTTTAATTTGTATTGTTTTTTTGTTTTTTTGGTTCATCCCCTCCCCTCCCTTCTTATTTTATGTCATGTACAAATTTTTATGTATAGATTTTTATATATAGATTAGCTAGGTATAGGATAGTAAGTGACGATCAGCCTCAAACCCATTTCCCCCTTTTCGGCCTTGTGCCACCATTGTGTATTTTACGCAATAAATCTTGACATATTTGGAGGTATATACCTCCTTTGTCAATATACATGCGACTTCACAGTATTTATGTCTTAATAGTGTCTACATGCTCTTCAATTTCAAATTAGCTTGGTAACCATATGCAATAAAGGTGTCCAGGCAGTTACAGACTTACAAATAATGACGATGTCCTTTATATGTAAAAAAACAACAAAAAAAATAACAGTGTTAGTCATCTTAAGTTTATCAGATGCCAGGTGGCAAGGCTTACTTTAAATGAGACAGTTATCTCTGTGATGCGTGATATCATGAGACTCTCATCACTCAGCTACAATACCTTGATTTAGAATGATTTTTTAAAATGAAAAAGCATTCTTGAAGATTTCTTTTTAACTATAGTTGAAAGTTAAAAGATTAAATTTACTATTTCCAGTAAGCAAAATACATTGGTTTATTTCAACAAGAAATTATATTGATCGAAATCTCAACTTTTTGTTCGCTTTCAGAAATCGTTTAAATCAACCATTTTTGGCACATTTATAAACAAAAATTAATTCTCGGTTTTAAAATCTTCCAAGAATAAAACACTTTTGATTTACGCGCTTTTTATCGCCCGTCAATCACTTAACAAGCGCTGGAACGTGTTGATAGATTTATTTGTTGTTCTACAGCTTTATCTGTTAAAAAAGAATTTAATAAAATGACGAGTGAGCGCCTTTTTTTATATAATTTTAATCATTCAGTAATCTTAAAAATTTGAAAAGATTTTCCCATAATCTAATTTACTATAGTTACTATAGTCAATGCGCTTATTTTCTGATAATGTCGTGTATGGCCGACCATACTTTCAAACAGGCGGACGTTACGTAATATTTAATATACATAAAAAAAAATTGAGATCATTCTAAAAATCTTGACGCAAAATATTTTATATTAAGCCTTTCAATTTTTGATTAGTAAATATAGTTTTCACTTAATAACAATATCACCTAACTGGATTGAAGTAATGCAGAATTTTAAACGATTTACATATTATAAATTATTATAATTGAAATTTTTAAAAAATTAAAACAACTCTTAAAAATTCATTATTCATTGAATTTTTTCTTAATAAAATAGTGTCCTTAATAAATCTTATTTATAAAAGCAATTAAAAACTTTTCCAATTAAATAATGTCACAGATTTATTGTAGTTTTTATTTTACGATTCGGAGCCGATTTTCGGGAAATGGGCAGTAGTCTGAAAAAAAATGATCATTTACATTCTCCAACGAGTCCTGCGTTTAACTAATAAAACAAATTTTGAGATTGAAATTTAAAATATGTAAAAAAAAATTAATTTTTACAAAGTTTTTCTAAAAAAATTCAATTTTTAATTCCATTTATTTGTGAATAAATCCTGAAAGTTTCATTAAAATCCTACAATTATTTGATTTTTGCAAGAATTTCCAAATCAATGTATTTTTACTTTATATTCTCTCACTTGTGAAATTTTTTCTTACCTGAGATTTAAAAATTAATAATGAATAGAAATAATACCATAAAATTTCATAAGAGATGTACGTAAAAATTATAGGTACCTCTCTTATGAAATTTTATCTCACTCTCAGTTATTAAATTTTAAATCTATTTTATTGTTAGTATTTAAATTTTATTTTTACAGAAATCATCTTCAAACGTAAGGCTATAAAACTAAAGTATCTAAAAAAAATAATAAAAAAAAATTAAATATTAGATTGCTGAAAGCATTTGATAAATTTTAAAAAATACTGTGTAGTTAAATAAGTTACTTCACTTAAAATTTAAAAAGAAATGTGTCACTTCTGTTCTTAAATTAAACTGATGTCATTGCTTACTTAGTATCGACCAATAACAAATTAATTTTTTACTATGTCATAACTTATGAGTTGATTTTGTTCTGTGCAATGTATCGCTTTTCATGGGAAACTTTTTAGTTTTAGTTGCGTCCATGGGACACACACAAAAAAAGGAAAATTTACTGCGTCCTTTAAGATTTTTATGCATCAGGGACGCAGGACATGCACCTATCCGCATTTCTGTCAATATGTCATTTTAACACTTCTTTTTAATCATTTCACCCCAAGCAAGGCAATAAAGTCACTAAGACACAAGGGGTTGCTGAGTGTGAACTGGCTATAGATCTGTATATGGATACATTTACTACTTGAAAAGAGAATTTCTCAGGACCTTTTGATTTATTCATCTGTAGTTTGGGAATAATGGATACTTGTGCGCCACTGCTTACAAAATAAATAAACACTTGTCGTTCGATCTGCGGTATGCGATTCACGCCAAGGAATGCCAGATGGTTTGAATCGAAGTCAATAAGGAACCATTGTTCACCTAAATCAGCTCTGAGAGTTGATCTGGATGACCTTATATGCACTGGACTCACCCTAAGTGATACCAAAGTAGAATTCGCGCTTATTGTCAAGTAGAGTATCAAAAGAACAATGTGCATCAGAGGTTTGTCCTGGAAGGTAACCTCATAGCAACCATGTGCATCCAGTCAGAGCAATCCGCAAAAACATCCAGTCTGAGCAAACAACAAAAAACAGGATCTTAGAAAGCCGTGAACGGAACATTAACTTCACTATGAAAAATAGCGTCTTCACTCTTCCTTCATTAATGTCCTCCATGGTTTCACAAAAAAAAAAAAAGTTTGTCAGCAAGATAAGCTATGGATAATTCAGTCTGTCACGTATTTAATTATAACATCTGGCTTCTTCATATTCCACTTTTTAATGTTTCCGTATCTTTTTGTATACGACTATTAAAAAAAAACTTTGGCAAGTCTGTATTTAATTCCTTTCGAATTTAAAGGATGAGGAAATACTGGACTTATTCCTTTTACTAGAAATATAGGTAGGGTCATTATTAATTTTAGTTTTTCTCAATGTTTCGGAATAAACCACTTTTTAACCATCCCAATGAAATTAACATCCGTCTCACGACCACCGCAAAAACATAAAACATTTTTTTTAAAAACATATCGAAAGAAAGTTATTTCTTTACATTACAACTTATACATTATAAAGAAGAAAGTCATATTTTTTTTTAAACAAATATTTTTACTGTACTGGACTCAAACAGAAATAAAACATCACTTTTTAATGGAACAAAACAAAACGTTTATTTACTATGAAATTAAACATAATAACACGTCACAACATATTAACAAAAAATTTAAAGGCGA